TTCATACTCCGCTCTCCCACTGACTCACCAAAGCTTTTCAATCAGTTCAAAGTACTTGCATTTCAATTGCTGACCAGAGCACTACACAATAACCTCTGAGGAAGGAACTACGATTGCTACCCTTGAACAGATCAGAACAGGCGCGAGGGAGTGGGGCGTCAGATTTCGGATCCCAACTCTGACACACCGGCCACCATCTGACAACTGCCCCCATGGCATCTGGAAAAACTTAGCCTTCCTGGGAGCAGCAGGTGGCATAATGGTTAAGGCAAGGGACTACCATGTGATCGACGGGGCTTCATATTCTCCAGACCTGGTGGCTTCAGGCACCTATGCATGCATGCCCAAAATCCCAGGAGGAAACTAGAGGACTGCAGAGTGGCCATTCCCGCTGGTGAGTGATTTCTCGCTGTCTGACTGTCTCTCTGGCAAGTGCATACGTCCTATAGCAAAAATCTAATTAAAAAAAAAAAACTTAGCCAAAGAAGTTTCATTTTTGACACAGAGGATGGAGATTATTTGAGGCAAAAGACATTCCTGGGAGTTTTAGTTTCCGTTTTGACAGAAGCATAGTTGTGCACCAAGAGAGTACATCGACAGCCCCGGAGCAAGAATGAATGGCAAGGGCAGCGTGACCCTGGCGCTGGGGCATTATAGGGAGTAGTGGGGACTGTGGGGAGTGGCAGCTCAGCTCTTGTCCAAGTAAATGGGCTGCTGTTCCTCGGCTCCAGTTGGTATTCACCATGGAGGGTTTATATGGCCAGATCCTCCCACTTTTAAAAGAGAAGCAATAAATTAAACGAAGACTTCCTATTTGTTGGCAATGCAGTGTGTGTGTGTAATTTGCTGGGGTTTGTGCCCTCGTGTTTGGGGTACTTGTCACTGTTTCATTTGGGGCTCCCAACATCCTTGTGGGATATATCCAGTGTGGATGGCTATTTCTGTTTTAGTGAAGAGGAACCATGGCTCAGGTGGGCGTCATGACTAGCCAAGGCACCACGAGGTCATTGTGCATAAGCTAGCTAGCAGGGCTGGAACTGGAACCGGGCATCTCTACTCCTGGGCCTGGAACCTTTTCCCTCTGCATGCTCTGCTCTCATGAAGAATATGTTGCTTGATTTCTGGCCACCGTGAGCCAAGTCAGGCATGGGGCTGGCACTGGGGTGTGGAGACATAGTACCTTTCCTGGGAAGATGGAGCGGGAGTGCCAGACTGCTGTCCTCGAAAGCAGGCGCTCAGCCTGATGACTCAGAGATGAAACTGTGTCTTGAGGGTAAGGCTGAGTCACAGGAAGCAAGGTCTGCATGGAGGCAGCTGGGGCCATTGAAGTCCAGATTAGGATATTGAGAAATGGAGGAGACTGGACTAAGCACATATACTCACCTCTCGCCCTCCCCCTCCCCCAACCAGAAGCCACTTGTACCAATGCACTGGCTAAAACAATGCCTGTTTTTCCTAGCATGATAGGGAAGAATAGAGTTGGACTGCTAAGTGGAATCTTGTGTGGTCCTGGGAAGAGGGGACTCCATGCAGGCAATAAGCCTTCTAGATTCTCAGGTTTGGGCATCTGCACTGCAGGACTTGGCCCGGGCCTTTCAGACAGTGAGTGCTGGTGCTGAAAGCTGATTTAGAATGACTGGGCACATCGCTGCTGCAGCCTGAACCTCCACAGCTGAAGGACTGAGCAACAACAGAATGGAGTGCCTCCCTGCCCGCATCCTTCCTCTGCTGGACTTTGGGGTGCACAAGGGTTAACATGTACTCACTGTTCACCATGTACCAGGCTCCATGCTGAGCTTTGCACAGACATGGCTCTCTGGGACTCACCCCCAAACTGAAATAGCCATCATTCTTCTTTTTCTCAAAATTTGCAAGAGGGTGCATGCCCTTGCCAGAGAGAGACTGAGAGAAAGGAAAATTTTTAAAAAAGAAGAAGAGAGCACCCACCATGGGAAATGGTCATACCAATCTCCTCTCCACTTCTCCTTTTTTGGGGGATTTTGGTATGCACATACACACGCACGTCAAGTTTTCTTTTTTTTAGAGAGAGAGTTTTGTTATAGGGCATGCGTGCTTGCCAGAGACACAGAGAAAAACAGAGAGAGAGAGAAGTGAGAAATCATTCACCAGAGGGGATGGCCACACTGCAATCCCTTCTTCTCTGTTCTCCTCTTGGGACCTTGAGCACATATGCACATGTACCCAGCATGAGTTTTAAGCTACTAGATCTGGGACTCCAACCATGGTCAGCCATGTGGGGATCCACTGCCTTAACCACCATGCCACCTGCTGTCCCCCTACTTTTTTCAAGGTTTTTGCAATAGGGTGCATGTGCTTGCCGGAGAAGAAACAGAGAGAGGGAAAGTGAGAAACCAAATCCCAGGGAGGATGGCCACCCCACATCCCTTTCACCATTTTCCTCCTGGAATTTGGGGCGCACACACACACACACACACCTAGTATGATTTTTAATCCGCCAGACCCAGGACTCGAATAGTCACCCATGTGGGAGTCCAACACCTTAACTGCCACACCACCTACGGGCCCCCTACTGCAAGTTTTTAAGCCACCAGGTCCTGGACTCAAACTGCACAGTTGGCCATGTGGGATCCAGCCACCTTAACCACCATGCCACTAGCTGGCCTGCTATTACTCTTAGCATGGAGGATAATGGGCATAGCTTGGCTTGCCTGAGGACATGCAACTAGTAAATAGGGGAGGTGGGATTCAAACTTTGGATCTTGGTGACCCAAAGGCTGAGCCTTTCTAACTAAAATTAGAGCCAACAGAGATGCATCACTCAGGTTCCACTTCAAGACAGAACTGCCCAGTAGCTGCAGGCAGTATGGTTAGCTGATAGCCCTCACAGTGTGGTGGGCTTCTCCCAAGCCCGTGGTGTGTTAGTAAGTGTTTAACAACAGAGTGTCAGTGGGTGAAGTGTATCCACATGTAGAGTGGCTTCTCATTATTCCCTGTAGTTCTGTAATCTCTGTAGAGCAACTCCAAACACTGAAACTGTGACCACTGAAACCATTGCTCTTAGGGAATGTACAAGTTAGGTTCCTGCAAACCTCGGGTCACATTTTCACCAGCCTTTCAATATAAAACCTTGTCTTATCTGCGTTTTTATATAAACATGCCTTATTCAATCTATACAAGGGTTCTTCAAACAATTCATGTGGGACCAGCAGATGGCATAATGGTTACATCGCTGGACTCCCACGTGGTCGACCATGGACCGTGAACTGGACCCAGTGGCTTAAAACTCATGCTAGGTGCATGTGCGTATGTGCCCAAAATTCTGAGAGGAGAATGGAGGAAAAGGGATCGTGGCATGGCCATCCCCCCCTGGGGGGGGGCGGTGATTTCTTGCTTTCTGTCTCTCTGGTGACCGCATGCATCCTATAGCAAAAATTTCTCTAAAAAAAATCCAATTCATTTAAAATGAGCATTTTGAAAAAACTGTGTATAGATTTCAAGATTTTTTGCACCCACATAAACACATCTGTAATTCTCTTTTTCCACACAGTTTTTGGAGTCTCCTCATATATTGTTGATTCATTAACATTGAACTCATGGCCAAACAGCACTAGAACTCAATAAAGGTTATCTCCACACTTACTTTCTCCGTAAGACACATCACAGCCTTCTGTGGCTTAGGAGCTCGAGAACGCTCTTCAGCTCTATCTTGGGCGCCATTTAAGCAGTGACATCTCCAAAAGTAAGCACATGGAAATGAAAAACGGGACACTTGGTAGACCGCACGAAGCATGCTTGCTTTCAGTATGGAAGCTGAGATGAGCAGGCTGTGTTACCTTGTTTAACCTCAGCTTGAACGTACGGATGTTTCAAATATTTGTCCACTCCTCACAAGCCATGAACAACTGTAGAAGCACAGTGGGTATTGCTTGAAATGTATACAGAAAGTTGGAGCAAGTAGATAAATTTGCAAATATGAAATATGTAAATAATGAGGATCGACCGTACATATATTTTTGTGTGCACATGTACATCAGCTTATCATCTTTGCTAATCTAGATGTATAGCACGCAATTTACAAATAATGATGAAATATACAATACTCATTTTGTAGAGCGTGCACATTCCATAGAGACAATCTGTCCCCACAGAAAACTTTGGTTGGTCTTTGCCCAAGTCTTATTTCCAACCTATTGAATCCAACTAACAAATGAGTAGGTTCTGACGTGAACATTTGCGAATACTTTTGCTGACACTAAAGATTACTATGCAAATAAGACCACAAAGACAGATATTAGGAACTTCACTCACTCTTTTCTTTTATGTCTTTTTTTTTTGGAGAGGTTTTTGCTATAGGGCGCATATGCTCGCCAGACAGACAGAGAGAGACATAGAGACAGAAAGCGAGAAATCACTCCCCCAGGGGGGATGGCCACGCTGTAATCCCTTCTCCTCCATTCTCCTCTCGAGAT